ATCTTTCCACCGCAGTGCAAATATGTGAAATTTTCATATATCTAAAATCTTCATGATTTTGCTCTCTAACATCACAGCCAAGATATTATCATTAATATTATTATTATTATTATCATTATTACAATTATTATTTAACAATTTAGGCAAGCTATTTAATTATTGTTGTTGCATTTTGATGCCAAAGAGAATATATAAAATGTTTCAGTTTCACTGTATGTGGGAAATTTGTCTTTTGACACCACTGAGGAAAGCCTGCGGGCTCTGTTTGAGGACAATGGTGCAACCATAGAAGAAGTGAGAATCATAACAAGAGATGGATTGTCCAGAGGGTATAGTTATGTTCCATTTTCATACATTTTTGTTTATGTATAATATACAATTTACACCTATACATGTAGAGGACCAAGAAAAGCTGGAATTGTATTTGTGCTCCATGTTATTATAGTGTAACTTTGTATATTAATTCATGTATCGTGTTGATTGTACAGCAATGTCTTGCCACAAAAAAAAAAAAAAACTTACAATGTAAAGAAATTTAGTGAGCACCTTTGTACATGCACTCCCAACTTGACCTGAATGTGAAATTAACATCCCGTTTACCAATAAGAGGAATTTAAATATTTTAAAATATTTTTCTTTTGCAAGAGCTTTCTATAAGCAAGGATTTTTTTAACTAGATCATTCTGCTAGTATTCAGTGAACTTGTAATTGTTGAGTTAGGTTATGTACTGAAGAACTACTCGCATTCAAGTTTGCTATGTTTGAATTTTAGATTTGGCTATGTCGATTTTTCAAATCATGAAGAAAGTCAAAAGGGATTGGAACTTGATGGTTCAGAACTTGATGGCAGAGCGTTAAGAGTCAATTTAGCAGAGCAAAGACGCAACCAAAATGAGAGAGGACAAGGAAACTCGCGAGGCAGAGGTGGTTCTAACAGAGGCCGTGGTAAAAGTACTCCATCAACCACCTTGATATGCCTTGGTCTATCGTACAACACAGATAATGACTCATTAAGGGGAGCTTTCCCAGATAGTGTCAGCGCACGAGTCATCACTGATAGGGACACAGGCAATCCAAGGGGGTAAGAATCTCTACCTGCCTTTAGTGTTTGTTTTATCCTTCAGTATCTTGGCTTTGTTTACTGAGTGATGTAGTGAAGGGAAGCTGTCAAACCGAGACCATACTCTACTGATTGAGTGTTAGCGAAGTCAATGCTGCAAAATAAGGAATGAAATACACTTGTACATACAAGTAGCCAAGCACAAGAAAATGATTTCTCAACAGATGGCAATTCTGTCTTATTTTTGTATAAGCATCTAGAAAATACTTTGCACGGTCCTCTATTTTAGTTGTTTAGAATCATAATGTTGGCTTTTTGTTTATTACTTACGATTGCAAATGTGCCTTTTTGTGAGATGTTTCAATTAATATTTTCTTGGTTATTGAATATTTAAAACTTGTTTGGGTCATCAATCCAAGTGGAAAAACCTTGCTCCGTTACTCACAGTACTAACAACTGGGTTAGTGAGGTATGAAATCCCCAGAATATGTTGTTTTGATAAATACATGCAAATGTCTCCTACACTTAAAATTTTAATGTGTAGAATTACTTCTCTTGTTCTGAACCTCATAAAAACCTTTAAACAAGGCATTACTGAGTACTGGAAAGTAACTTAGCACTTATTATATCCTTTCCATTAAATGTCTTAGTTGTAACTGGCGATTAAACACTCTTCATTTGACTTGTGCTAATCCCTTTGTCCCGTGGCCTCTTTTCAGTTTTGGTTATGTGGAGTTTAACAGTATTGAGGATGCACAGTCTGCAATATCCACAATGGAAGGACAAGAATTGGATGGGCGTTTCCTTCGACTTGATTTTGCAGAACCAAGAGGCTCCACACCTGGGAGTGGAGGTGGTAGAGGTGGCGGTAGAGGTGGTAGAGGAGGAGGAAGAGGTGGCTTTGGAGGCAGAGGAGGGGGAAGAGGTGAGTTTATTTGTAATTTTCGTGTCTTTTATTGTACTTTAAGGTAGCTAAAAAGTTTTTCATTTTGGCACTTGTTAGGTAAGGTACTTTATGTGGTCACCAAAGAGTGACTTTGTAAGTAGAGAGCCAGTTTGGTTATGTAGCACACCTGTGGTGATTACTGACCATGTAATACAACATACGAGTACACAGGGAAGTTTAAATTTGTCACAAAGTTGCTATTTTCTGCTGTCAAAACTCCAAGGATCACTTTCTCTGAAAATTAGTTATATCCATGCTTATATGACTCATGTGCCATAACGCATGCCACAGAACTCAGTCTGTTCTCTAAGCAGTTCTTATATTTTTGTTTCAGGGCGGGGAAGAGGAGGATCTCCCTTCAGTGCCTCACGTAAAGGAAATATTCAGGAATACAAAGGGACAAAGATCTCATTTGATGAATAGGTGGCTGATACATTTGGCCAATTTTACCATATACCATAATGTGTAAAAAGTTAGAGGCTATGGTTTAGAGTCTTTCTTCGCGCATTCCATCTCTGTGTTAGAAACTTCATTAATCCATTAGAGGCGTAATACTTATCAGCAGAGTGTGAATTTCTTAGTGAATCAAAGAAAATGTTCTATATTTCGCTAAAACATATTAACAACACCTGGCACAAACCCAAAGACAGATAGAATGCGTAGTAATTATTTATATCAGTGAGAACTTAATAATTACACTCGTCATTTTAATACCGTGAGATTTTATTGTTTTTAAATTCTCTGTCAAATTTGTAATTGGTAGGTAATCTAAACGATTTGTGAAAGAAAGCGTTGCGTTTTTTTCTTGTTAATATCAGAAAATTGAGCGGCAGACGTTTACCGCCACTCGTGAACAATGCCCAAAAAGTCTCCTCTTTTCCAGTTGTGGAAAGTGCAAATAGTAAATGCAATTGTCTTTGGTTTAATTTTTTTGATCCCTTAGTTTTATTCACTTTCCAAACGTTCCAATGAGAGGTTTTCATAGTTTGTAGGTGGAGTGGAGATATCTGTATTAGAAGTGTATCCCTTTCAACACCACTGAAAGCGTCTAAAGAGTATTGAAATAGGTCTGATATTACTGACTGCTGTGATTTGTAACACAATAGATAATTCAATAAAGTATGATTTACTCTGAACAGTGTAGAATTCATTGTAAGGTAGTATTTTAATATAGTGTCTGCATTTTTACCATCAAGACGTTATCTAGATCCTCTGAACACAGGCCCTCAATAAGCTGGTCATGGTTGTGTTAACGATGTTTTACTCTAAAATTGACGTAATTTTTTTTGCATGGGTTTTATGCGTGAACCTCTCTTGGTAGAAGATCTGGTCTGCTGTCAGAAACGTATTTCTTAGACGAATTAGTTGATAGTTCTCATCTTCGGCACACAATCATGCAGTCTACCTTCTTAAATTCAAGAATAAGACTGGCTGTACTTCCTTGAGTGATGTCTGGAGCTTTAGCGCTAATGTTTGTAGCTTGGCTATCAGAGCAAAACAAAGGTTTCTCGAGTTCCCATGAACTTTGAGCTACATACAGGTAACATTGAACTGGGGAGGAGAGTCTTGTCAATGATTTAGAGTGTGGAAGTTACAGGAGTGTAATTCTACACATAAATAGGACTCTTTAAACATGATATTTCAACTAATTTTGACACTGATTACTGCAGCTCCATCGGTCAAACAGTCTTCCTATGCCTTTGGTTTCAACCCGGCGATATTTGGAAGACATCGACCCCGACAGTGATCTAGCGGCTAAAAAGCCATGCCGTTTGTGGCTGAAGAGGTGGGATATGTGATCCCGTAGACCCGCCAGAACGCAGCGCAGGAGAACGAAAACCGCTCACCAGATCGCACCGTCCCTGACCATGTTATTCAACAAATCTTTGCGGCTCGGCATTTTTCCAGAACACTAGAAACTCGCGAATAAAGTGCCCATTTTCAAGAAAGGAAAAAGAGACCTTTTGGAGAATCATCTCCCTATCTCCCCTCTCCCTGTCATCTCCAAAGTTCTCCTGCGCTGCGTCCTGGCGGGTCTACGGGATCACATATCCCACCTCTTCAGCCGCGAACAGCATGGCTTTTTAGCCGGTAGATCTTGTGTGACTCAGCTCACCAGTGTCTTGCATTACATTGGCAGTCAACTCGACGCCGGTAACAAATAGACAATATATATCTTGACATGAATAAGGCATTCGACAAAGTGATCACACCGAGCTACTTGGAAGGTTGCACCAATACGGTATTACTGGCAAACTCTACGACTGGTTCCGTTCATACTTACAGGGACGCAAGCAACAAGTTACAGTTCTCGGAGCTATTTCCCGAGAATTGCCGGTTACTTCCGGGGTACCACAAGGGTCCCTACTAGGGACGATACAGTTTCTGCTGTTTGTGGACGATCTATCAAACGCTGTTAAGACTTCGGGAGTTGCCTGTTACGCCGATGATACTTGCGACACAGAGAAAGACCTTGGGGTGTGGGTGTCAAGCAATCTCACCTCAGACAAACAAGTATCTGAACAGTGTGCGAAAGCCAAAAACTCCTCGGGTTTGTGCGCCGACTTTCTAGGTACATCCAAAGCACCCAAACGCGTCGTACACTGTACCTCTCTATCGTCCGGTGCCATCTCGGCTATGCAACCCAAGTATGGTCGCCACAGTCCATTGGCCTACTAAAGCGAGTTGAAAACATACAGCGCCGTACAACAAAACCAATTTTGAAGCTCCCCTTCCGTTGCGATGTCACCGATGAGACCCGCCTCCAACTAACAAATCTGTTGCCCATCTCATACTGACATGAATTTTTGGTTATAGTCTTTTTCTACAAAGCTGTTAATAACTTGGTTTTCATAGATAGTGAAGCTTTACCTGTAAGCAGGCAATTTACAAGATCTACTAGGTCATCGAGCAGCAGTGCTATTACTTATATTCCTAAGCGAAGTAGAACTGTTACATATCGACGTTCATTTTTCATACGCTTGTGCCGCACACATGGTACGCTACGCACAAATCACATCTTTCTAGCCTCTTTTAAAAGTTTATTACTTCAATATTACAAAAAGGCTCTGAAACTGTACAACGTTGACGACATTAGAACCTGGAGAACAATCTGTCCTAGGTGCAACACAGCGAGGTCTCTCCTATGCCCACCAACATGCTGCTTCTAGCAATTTGGACTTCCTTTTTGTTTCCTCTGAGTTTTCTGCTTACATATTAGTAGATTTAGTTATTAAGTATTTTTTATATAAATAATTAACGAGGGATCCGCTGTAATTGGCTAGGTTGCAGTGGTCTCCCTGCCTAATAATTTTTGTATTCTTTTTTACAAATTGTATTCTAGTTAGGCGAAGCTAAATAAATAAATAAATAAAAAAGATAAGAATAGGGCGATCGTATCACCTTAGAGTAAACCTCCTGTCTTTTGTACTTTCGCTGAGAAGAGGATTGGTAAAGAACTTCGATGCGATCAATGTTAGGGAGATTCTTATCGGTCAGTCATATAATTCTCAAGCAATTGCAAATCATCGGTCTCGGGTGATGGGAGAAAGCAAGAAGTTTGTTGCTCCTTGATGTTTAATTTCAGAATTCAATCAGTTGCCTCAAAAAGATAGATTTTTATTTGTTTTTTGTTGTTGTTGTTTGTTTGTTTGTTTTTTCTCCATACTATTGCAGGAATATAGTTTGAAGTAGATGCTAGTGAATTTGTAATCTTTTTAAGGCCAGCTAGTGTAGCTAGACCTGGATCTGAAATGACACAGATTTGCCCCAATTCCCCTGGGAACTTGTTCCGAGCAAAGCCTTTGAAGAAAGAACTTGTTTCAAATTCAGTACCAAACAGGTCCTTGTGTGAAGAAGATAGATGGAAATCTTAGTCTCGCAGGTTCTTACAAGTTAATTTCTTTTATTTGTGAGCGATTTCTATCTCCCAGTAATTTTAAAAAAATTCATGTAAACTTTCAGAGGACTGGATGGCTTAGGAAACATAGGAGGAGTACATACATACATACATGCATACACCCATACATGCATACATACATACATACATACATACATACGTTTATTGCAACTCCCAAGCTGGGTTTTCCAGTTACAAAGCCTACATTAAAATTATTGTAATATTATAGTAACATTATATTGGCCTAAAAATATATATAAGTGAAAACTAAGGCTAGTACAATATAAATACAAAAGGCCAGTACACGTTAAAAACACTAGTGAACTAAAACAAAAACTAGACAAGAATAGAAGATTGAAATGATTCATCTGTGCGTGACATTTCCACTAAGGAGCACATTCAGTAGGCGGAGCCTAAAGGCGTTTACATTCTCAGCTGCTTTTAAGTCATTTGGGAGGTTATTCCACAATTTGCATCCGCGATACGTGAATGCACGTTGCCCAGAGGACAGACGGCATCGTGGAATGTGGAGCAGATTACATGATCTTACCCTACTATGAATACGAGATCGTGGGACAAACATGTCAGCCAGATATTCAGGAACTAAATTATTTACACATTTAAATACCATTACAGCATCGTTAAAATAAAGTCTCTCCTTAACAGTGAGCCAATTAAGAGATTTTATGCCTTGGGAGACGTGGTCAAATTTCTTAAAACCTAATACAATACGGGCAGCAAAGTTCTGCACTAGCTGAAGCTTATTTATATTTCTTTGAGATGTGTTGGCCCATACAGTTGAATAATAATGCATTGTACTAAAAACAAAAGCGTTCATCAAAAGTAAAAGGGTTTTCCTGTCCAAGAGGTGTTTAATCCTGCTAATCTGTACTAGTTTGAAAATACAGTTAGAAGTAGCTTTAACAACATGATCGTTATATGTTAAGGACTGGTCGATGTAGACTCCAAGGTCCTTTGCCACAGGGACTGGTGTTATTTCCTTTCCCGAGAGTGAAATTGACGTTGGAGGCAATTTCCTCAGTAGTTGAGGAACACCAACTAGTAAGATTCTAGTTTTAGCTGGGTTTATTAAAAGGGAATTCTGACAGCACCATGGGCAAATTTCTCTCAAATCTTCGTTCAGATAACCAAATACGCGAGCGATGTCAGTTTAGCGAAAGGATAGGTATAGTTTACAGTCATCGACGTAGCACACAGACTTGCAGTGGGCTGTAACGGACAAGAGATCATTTCCATAGATGGTAAACAACACAGGCCCCAAGATAGAACCCTGAGCAACTCCGTATTTAAGAGGGAGCGGGTCTGAGATAGCATCCCCAATACGCACTCGCTGGCTACGACCAGACAGGTAATTATGAAACCACTCTAAGCTCGAAGAGGCAACACCTATGCTCTGTAACTTCTGAAGGAGAAAACCATGTCTGATACTATCAAAATTCATGTAAATTTTCAGAGGACTGAATGGCCTAGGAAACATAGGAGGAGTTGGAGATATATCGTCGTCAGCAGCTCTTCCCGTCAAGCACGGGTCAAATGCATTCAAAACTATTCTTAATTCAGCCTTCAAGCTAAGAATAGGGGCAGCCATTTTGAAACTTACTGCCTCAGGACTATGATTAATTAGAGGAAATTTGGTTTTATCAGCTGAGTTGGTAATGTAAATTGGCCACTGTTAAGAGTTTCTAAAGCTGACGTTGCGAGCGTAGCCCTTCGGCGCTGCTCTAACGAAGGACTAACGCTTGAAACTAACTTAAGCTTCAGAAAGTATTTACGTTGGCCAATTTACACTATAAACTTAGTTGGTAAAAACAAAATTATCTTGTAATACCTCCAACCGACGCAGCGCCATAGTTTCTTTAGAAACTTACCCCCTTTTCGATAACTAAGGGTTGGTCAAACCAGTATATCACAGATTTTTGAGCCAATAAGAGTTTAATTGATCTGACTTGTTTTATGACTTTTCTGCATGAATTTCCGCGCTAGAATTCCCCGTTGATAAAGCTTTGCATAACCACGAATCATTATGAAATGACTAAGCGCAGTTGTATGTATTGACCGTATATTTCTCAAGTTGAGAGTTCTCTTGATCTAGAGCTGTTGCAAGAAGGGTTACGAAACACAAATGGAATGCGTACAAGACGATGCTAAAAGGTTTTGTGGGTAAGGATACATACCAGTGGTTTGGCCAATGATGAGGGCAATCTTTGAAGATAGGAATACATATCCCCTCGTTTTGATACGTAAAAGCAACAAGAACTTCCTTTGACAATGGGTTTGTCTGATAGTCCCTTTAGGTAATAACCTAAACATAGTTCTTTCAAGAAGCAGAATACTTATTTAAGTATTTAATATGTCAAGGCCACCATGACTGCACATAACAGTGCTTTATTGCATCCATAAGGCTACATAGCAATTTGTACTAAATATGATTTTCCATTCGGAAAAGGCACTAGTATGATACACATACACTAGTTTGTGTACTGGATTAGTTCGTTTGCCAATGATTTACAACTAATAAACCACCATCTATTCATCATCACCGTCATCCTCATCACCACCCTCATCCTCATCATCACCGTCATCCTCATCATCACCATCATCACTATCGTCACCATCATCACTATCGTCACCATCATCCTCATCATCCTCATCATCTTCATCGTCTTCATCATCCTCATCATCTTCATCATCTTCATCGTCCTCTTCATCCTCGTCGTTCTCGTCAACGCTATCATCATCAAGATCATCATCGTTACTGTCATCAGCGGCGGCTGAATCATCTTCTTTGGTTTCAGCAGCAGCATCAGTGCTAGCATCCTCTGCAGCAGGCTCAGTCTCGCTCTGAGCTGGATCATTTTCAGCTTCAGATGGTTCAGCTACAGCTGGATCAGTGGCATTGGCACTTTCTGGAACGTAGTTACGAGCCTTATCTTCATGGGTATCTAATAGCGTGACATTTTAGGTATAAGATCCATAATGCTGTACAAACCATTCAAAAATATTAGAAAAGAAAAACAGCTGGGATATTTTCTCTTCGACTAAGTGTGCCCCTTGGGGCACAGCCACATCGCATGTTGAATCTTTTTCTTCAAAATTGATTAGGATTGGAGCTAGGTACGAAACCCGCACCATCTTAAAGTTTATACCAGATCGTTCATTTCACTAGCAGATGTATCGCTTACTTACCAGCTGGCATACACTGCACAGTAGCGAAAACGGCAATCAGAGCCAATGCAATCAAGAAGTTCCTCATTCTGTATTTGGTAAATTTCTCGATGAATCTAACAAAGAAACATTATGTCAATATGATGGCGATGGTATGGAACCAAACTGACACTGACAACAAAAAGTTCCTGAATTGTAAAATCAAGGCTCTCTGTTTCAGGCGTTCAGCCAGTAAAATGATGCGTGATAGTAAACAGCATAATGGTAACGGAGGAGCGAAAAAACCAGGGAGGTTGAGTCGGGTCGCGTATGGACTGATTATGATGTTCTTCTAAGAATATTAGTGCCAAAAATACTATGTGCTTAGTGACTGAGCGGAAGGGCCGTACGGGAAAAAACTGGTTCGAGGTCAAGACTTACTCAGTCAAAAGGTATTTGTTTATAGGAGCACTAAATATTAAAATTTTGAAATCGTGTTCGATCTTGTATAAGACGCATTTACATTTAAACCATTGGCGCGCGTTGATTACAAAAAAGATTCCGTGATAAAAACTGTTTATCAAGTTCCTTGAGTCAGAAAAAGAGACTGACAATTCATCGAAAACTGCGACTCATTTTTTCATTTCTGTTATATTTTTATATTAAAGTCTGCCACAGGAATTTGCGTTCTCTGCAACAGAACCATGCGAGCGCAGGCTCAGACGGCTCTTTCCAGACCGGCTCACGTCAGCCCGACCAGCCCTACACTTCTAAAAAATGCAGGATATTTTGCATACATGGTTAAACCAATATTTGAGGTAATGATACGTGAAGCGTGAAGGAATAAAAAAGAAAAACCTGGACGTGAGCACTGAAGAAATTTAGTCTCATAAAACTTATCTTTTCAATATAGGAAGCTGAAAGGAGCTAGTATGTTGCCGTTGTGAGGGGTCATGGTGGCTGATAAGGCCTGATATGTGGCCGTTTCACTAAAAAGTGAGGTGGTATCCGGCAAGTTCTTATTTTGTTAACAATTATTTCACTTTATGTTATTCAATTCCAGCTCATGAGAAATTCAAACAACCAGAAATCATATGAAAGATTGAGTGACAAAATGTCAAAACAAAACGAGAGAAAGATGTTGAAATTTTAACAATTTCAATCTACTGCGGAATTGTTCTCTAAGAACTTATTTTAACCTGTCTTTAATGAAAAAATACGAAAAGGAAGAAGAAATCTAAATTAACCTCACTTTTAGATTTGTTTTGTTTCGCCTCTTCATAATTTTTACATCGATGACCTCATGATTTATCGGTTAATGTTTAAACCTAAGACTTGGGCCGGTAACAAACCTCCTCTCCCTACTTTGTTTCCTTTATTTCGAAAGTTTAACCGATCTTAACTCGGCTACTAGAATGGAAAAAAATATCCGTTTCCTGCGAGAAACTTCATGTTCATTATTTTCTTAACAGTATCTTGAACGTAACGCCGTAATGAGTGATCAAACTGATTAAGTGTTTTTACTGATATAGATGCCGTGACAATTTTTTAAAAATGTTCAGCGATTCAGTATCATGTGGCACAGTGAAGTAGTGAGACACCAAAACAGCGACAGAAAACCTTAGTTAGACAAATGAACCTCTAGTAATGTAACTGTCTTATGTGAAGCTATTACTTGATCTTTGTACTCGCTTTTACCATGAAATAATCCCGAGTAACTTGATTATGATATCTACACCACTGAAAGCCATGCTAAAGCCAGAATTAAAGGAATAAAAGACAACTTCATAAACAAATAAGACTAGAATTAAGCAAAGAGAATAATTGTATAGTGTATACACGAAGGTTAATGATTTACCTTCTTCCGCAAAAGTTGCACCTTGCACTTAGTCCTCAACTCTTCGAATGGCGTTGGATCCGCAGACAGATGCCTTTTGTTCCTGTTTATTGTTGAATATGGTGATGTAAGATTAAATGGTCGAATGGCCTTTTTTCTAAAATATATATGGTTATTTTATTCCCTGCTGCTATTAACTGATCTCAAAACAAACATTTTTACGTCACCCTGGAAAAGAAGTCTAATAGTCTGTGCAGCGTAAGTTTCCACTTTTTCAACATGACACAACAAGCTGCACGTCGCTAGAATCGAAGTAAGATTATAAATCATTTTCAGCTACATTCACCCAGGGTTTGTTAAAGCGCTCTTGAACAGTTTCTCTTCTTTCAATATTTGTTATTTTGTTTCAGTTTTGATAGCAGGTTGAGACAGGCTATAGGAGTTTAAACAAAAGAGGTGGTTAATAACAAGTTTTGATTTAGTGGAAATGGTTCATGTTTGGAAATTTGAACAAACTTTCAACACGTCTTTAGTGTTCCTCAAAAGCTGTCCGTAGTAACTACTCTCTTGTAGTCCACAGGAATTGACAAAATCAATCTATGCCATAAAAGTCGTGAGAAGTTAAATTTTTAATAAATATCCTCTTTTGATGAGGAGAAATTGTTTAACAAACACGAAAGTGTTTATCAATGCCACCAAATGAATTCATTTATGGTAGCGAATCACTTTTGGCCAACTCTTTATTGCCGTTGCAAAACCAAGATGAGATATGGAAAAAAAGCCAAACACTACTGGTTGTTTGGTGAACCGTCTCGAGGACCAAAACAGCAAATTTTAAACATTGATCAACTCCTGAAGTTCAAGAAACGGCTTAATTAAAACACTTTAAACGAAAAATCAGTAACGAAGTAAGTTTCTCTTTAATAGGACTGATTACTCTTGGGCTAGAAAAGCAAACTGACTCCCTGTCATATGTGGGTGAAACTTTACATCTAATGTAGGTTTTCGTTTATTCAGTTATAGGTACTTAGTCTTTCTTTGAAAATAAATCAGCTTTTCAATTGCAACCTTCTGATTTCGCACATAACCGACTGAACTCAAGCTAATTAGGGACAGGTTAGAGGAAAGGGTATCGTTATATATCTTTTTGTGTTTGTTACATTTGAGGAAGATGTTGACATTTTAACAATTTCAATCGAGTGGATGAAACTTTAGACGATTAAAATTCTTATTTCTTTTCGTACTTTTTCATAACAGAGAGGTAAAAATAAGTTCCCAAAGAACAACGTAATTAGGGATCAGGTTAGAGGAAAGGGCATTCATTATATATCTTTTTGTGTTTGTTACATTTGCATCAGGACGAACAAGCTGTTTCATTTAAAGTTACAATTAGTCATTATTTTCATTCTTCAGGGTTCGTTGATAACAACATAGTTTCAAGAAAAAAAGGGAAATTCAGTGATTGCGTGAATGCGAAACCAGCATTTATGTAGAATAATTCTCGGCAAAGGGTTAGAATCCTCTTTTATCTGTAAGGACGTTTAAGTATTGTCAAATATAGTTAACGATTATCAGAGTTGTTTAAGCAGAGATTATAGTAGAGACGCTCAAGAGGAATTTTGAACATTCAATGCATGAATTCCAGAGACTTTGTGCCTCCATGAAAATCTGAACAAAGGCCATTGACCATAACAAAGAAGGTGCCGAACACAACAAGAAAGCTTATCAAATCACAAATCATGAAAAAATATTTAATAACTTTTCAGTACTTAAAACATCACACTTCTGTTGCTGTACTGCGCGTCAAACTGAAAATGTGAAATGCACGATGGAATGAAAATCCCTTGGTGGTCCCTGAGCTAATTTCATTATCTAGTAACCCTTTGTGATGTAATGTATTAATGAACTTCCGATACCTTCATGGTAATTATTATTTGTTTCTAGCCATGGCAAACCCTTCAAATAAAATTAACTTATCTTTCTTACGCTGTTTCTTTCTTTAATTAGCCTCATCCTTTGGTGCCAAATAAAAACTTCCAGTGAAGAACCGTTTGGTTCCTTGCATGGAGAACTAAGGACCGATGCACGGACCAGTTGGAAACATAAAGATACCTAAAGGTATATTGTTTACACTGGTCGACATGACAATTTGGGACACCGAGTGAATAGGAAGAAAAGTGTAATCAATAATAATCAATGCCCTTTGATATGAAATATATTTGATGAGTAAATACATGTGCAGGTACAGTTTACAACCAAAAATGAATAACTTTAAATATGTTACCCTTCTACAGTTGACAGTAATACTATCATGCCTGAGTGGCTCGTTTCTTTTGATTCAATGCAAAATATGGTTTCGGAATTATTACATATCTGAAGATATGATCGAGGGTCTCAGTGGGGTTAACCGTTAGCCGTAAACGGCCAAAGATTTTGGCTGTTAGCCGTAAAATTTGACGAATTTTAACCTCTAGTTGTAATAAAAATTACTTTACCATATAAACTACGTTTTTATACAAGGATTTCCAGCCCTGTGAAAAGCCGTAACAACACAAGTGAAAAAATACGATATTTTTTCACGTGTGTTTGATATCGCCAATCAGCTACTGACGCGCCACTTGCCTTTCGCGCCTCTCGATCAGGTTGATGAATGAACGGCAAAGCCTTCACCATTCTCAATCCACAGACGTTTGTCGGAATCTTTTCGGATTATGGCTACTAAAACACCGAAAAATCCGTATCGCTAACAGACAGTGACGTTCAAACTTTCCTAGAGGGGGAAGAAAACCAAAATACGAAAAGAAAAACCGAAGTTACGTATTCAGTGGCTTTGGTAATGGAATTTCTCCCGGCTGAGAACGAAAATCAACAACTAGAAGATTTGCCACAGGCCGATTTTGGCCGTGTACCTGAAAGATTTCTTTTGTCGGTACAATTTCAATAACTGAGAATTCGCATATTGAAAATTAGGCCATTGTTTATTTTGCAGTGATTTAACGCACGTTTTCATCTTAGGTGCGCCAACGCACTTTACGATTTTTATTCAGGGATTGTCAATCTTTTTTTTTTTTTCATTCATTCATTCATTAACAAAGTTGACTTTGCTAGTCAGTAAAGGGCTTTTGTGTTTATATGATAAACAAAATAATACATGGTTGCTTGTAGATATGAAATTTCGCTCCTCGTGTACAACTCGACATCTCACTCGTGAGCTATCGTGTTAAACACTCGAAGAGAAATTCCATAACTACGCGCGCCCATGTATTATTCTCTATTTAGAAAATTTTGACCTCAATGAGAAAATATTAACCGTAATCCGTAAAACTCATCACCCCATTGAGACCTTTGTGATTTTGCTTTTACAGCCATACTTATATTATTATGATGGCTCGGTCTCAGGCAAATCCTCTGCATCCCGTTACTAATATAGGCAATATGAGGCTGCCATCGCAACACATATTCATCCTTGTGTGATACATCATCGCTCCACAACATCGTACGCCAGGAGATGCTGGATATACAAAACCCGCGCAACAAAGCTGGGTAACTGTATTGTAGGAAGTGGGATAGTGCTCAGCGGGGCAACAGGCTGAGTAAGGTGAGGGTTTGGGAACTACCCGATTTTCGCAGCACAATTGATTCTGTACATCATATGCCATCCTTCCACAGCAAGCTGAGTGATTTCCTACTTTGCGGACAGGAAGACCCTCGCAGCAGAGCTGAGTATTGACATCGTATGCTAGCGAGCCGCAGCAAACTGAGTGTATCCCTGGTTTGAATTGTACATAGCTATCACAGCATATTTGGGTAGCCATATCGTATACGTGACTTCCGCAACAGGCTGATTGGACTCCAACCTTTGGTAATGGCGTATTATCACAACACAATGTGTAATTTGCATCATAAGGATCACTTCCACAGCAGCTTGGTTGCCGGAATCCTATCTTTGAATGTGGGTTAGCGTCGCAGCACATCTGGGTTAATGGATTGTATGACTCGCTACCACAGCACATGAGACGTGCTGTTGTTGTCCTAGGGATTAATGTATCATCACAACACAAGAACATAGCTGTACTGTACATTTGGTTTCCGCATACCCCAAAAAACCTGCGAAATCTTGAAACTCCCTTGTTTGGTCCTGTTCATGACAAAGATTAAAGCAATATCAATATACTCAAAATGATTTTTTTATTCCCATATTTGCAATGGTCTTTAATGGTCTTTGTCTAAAACGGGTCCTCATTTGACCTGCAGTTTGCGTAGCGTGTTTTGTTAGACCATCACGGCTTATCCATATTTTGTTCCGAGACAATTTTTCCTTTTCTGTCTTTAGGTGTAGCAGCAGCATAGCCCTAGTACCACTTTCAAGGCAACAAATTAAATGAGCCAGCACTGAAATGCACAGCGGGGTCCAGTCCGAAGTTTAAAGGTTTCCCTCTTTTTTGCCCGTTTTGCATTTGAAAGCACGCGATTTTCATTATTTCTCTCTCTCTCTGTCTCCCCTCTCTCCCACTCTCTCTCTCTCTCTGTCTCCCCTCTCTCCCACTCTCTCTCTCTATGTTTCTGCGTCTCTTTCCTTTTATTTCCGTCTTACTTGCTTTCTTCAAAGAATTTTCTTTACCAAAGATTTTACCCAGAGAGTTCAAGTTAAATACTGACTAAACAAATCAAAGCCTCTTAGCTTAGTGATTTTAATTCTGTTGTGATAAAATGAGTCCCAGTAATGAACGGTGAGTTATGCAGTGATCTATTTGCAGAATGATTCACTTTTCTAGCTGGGATTGTAGATTTTATGTTATGTATCTGTTATGTTTGTCAGCACAAACGGGGTCAAGACGAAGACCGAGTTGAATAAAAAGTACACGAGATAAGTACAGCAGCAAAATGATGAAGAAAGGGCAATATGCATGTAGCCTTTTCGCAGAAACAAATAAAATTCTTGTTAAAAAGGGAGATCCCACATCAGGAAAATTGTTGTTTGGATCTTTTTGTGAAACTATATTGACACGAATGTTCAAAGTATATCCCCGGATTTACAAAGATGATATATTTGTTGTTTTTCAGTAACTCGAAGATAACTACTTATTCATGTACCTTATTACCTACCAATTCTTTGTTCATTTCTTCCCTGCAAAGCGGAGTCTTTGTTGAAGGAAGCACCGTTGGTGAGAGTTACCAACAGGACTGTACAAAGAGAAGTCGTTATAATGTACCACATCTCTGATGCCGTGCTTTCACCGATAAGCTATTTAGGCTCTTTGATTTGCTCTAGAAGACAGCTGCTTCTAGTTCTTGCCACGCGTGAGGGGCGTTTTTAAACTGTCGATAATGACAACAATGTTTTTCAATATAGATAATGGCTTGTGACAGTATCAGGAATGTAGTCAACTCAGTTAGCCTTCCGATAAATAACAACTGATATCGTATCATAATCAATGTTGTTTCCAAGGAGCATTTTACAAACTCGGTCAGAGTAAATAAATTTAAAAAAAGAGAAAAACTATCAACAAGGGCTGATAGAATTCAGTTGGTAATTATTTCTTGCTTTTTAGTCTCATGTTTTTTAGACATCCTAAAGATATATCGCTTAAATATTTTTAAAGTCATATTACAAAACAAAACATTATACAAAGAAAACAGTATTGGACACATATTTGGTGCAATAGTGTGCAAGTGTAGCAACCTTAAGGTTGACTTCAAGCAGTCAACAATACCCTTATAGACCGTTGGTAGACCGACCTATCTCACAGTTTCAAATTTCTAACTTATAAGTTCTACATAAAAGGAAAAGGCAATTATTCAACTTTACATTTTTCAAATCCACAATAAAGTTTTAAACGCTCAGATCTGTTTCTGTTTTGCCTTTCTTTCTCAAAACTGATCAAACTGTGTGCGTCTCAAAAAAGGACACACAAGCCATACGTGATCCAATACACACAACAGATTTCGTTGTGATCCAATTTACAGTTCGTTATCCACGTTGAAGGCCCACTCGATAATCATTTGGAGCAGAATGAACAAAAAAGCCTCATTGGGAGCCCTCCGCTTTAGCCAGTGGTAAATGAGAAAGAAAGTAAAATGTAACAAAACTTTCCTTAGGTCATGAGTCATTGTCATTTGCTTGTTCAAATATTGCATTGTTAGTAAATGATTCGCGTGTAGTTCATAACACCGATGACTCCAATATCATTTTTTTTTTCAGCTGAAAAAATACTGGAAAGTATTTTCTAGTTCAACTATTTTAATTTGCCCTCCCTCTTTTTTTTTTTACACAAATATTTATGGGTTGATGTCTAAAGCTTTCTAAAATTATCTGAGTTTTGTACAACTTGTCCTTATATTTTCCATATTGTACACAAAGAGAAGATTAGAGGATAAGAACAACAATTCTTCTGTCGTTTGGATGAAAAGACTGAAATTCTTTTAGATGAATAATATTTGTGAATATTGATACTAATAGGTATGGATTTTCCTGCCAGGTATTCTTCGTGGGCACCAAATAGAAACACACTCTGGGGAAAAAAACTTTGACTAAATTGGTTGGTACTGTGTTTGCTATTTAGTTGAGAGGCCAATGCTCCCAATATCATATATCTTCATTGCGGATCTTTTAGCTAGATATTTCATGCAGGGGCTCAAATATTGACCAAAATGATTATTACATCACCTAATTGCAGCGAAAATTCTTCTCAGAATTCATTAGCTTGATACTTTTTTCTTATAATTCTTCCTGCCCTGACTTTCATTTATCCAAAAACAAACTGTCATACTCTTGTTTTTACGGTGTTTAGGGTAACCAAAGCCTCTCAAACCTGGTCGCGTTCTCGACGACGCATGTAAGTTGAGAAAAAAATACATCTTAAGATTTTGATAAATGCTAGATCTTAAGTCGCTAACAATTTTATGAGAATAAAGAGAAAGAGTGAAAAGACTTGACCTGTGAACAGCCCCAGCTAATATACGTTAATAAGTCGAGTGAAACCGATATCACTGAGGTGGTTAAGAAATCTCTCATTAAGTTTTGTTACTTAAAGTGATCTATGGAATAAGTATAATCCAACAACATCTGCTGTAATCGTGTCGTCGTGTCTTGATGAGGACTAATAAAATGCAGCGAGTCAGGAAAGTCGTGCCGCTAAGCGGCCATTTCCTTACGGGCGATAGCTCATATTCCAGTATGAAATTCTTGCTTGATTAATTTAATTAAAGATTGACTCAAACAATCAGAGCCAATATACATTAACATTTGCCGAGGCAGGCGTTGTCGTACAACTTAAAGTGATGCCTAATTATCAGTCCACATAACAAGCGGTGAGCAAGCGGTGCCGAAATGGAGCACACTGATGGTGTCAATCAGCCATAATGTTATGGTGGACATGAATTCTATTTATAAACACTTCCATTTCTTTCTAGAGGGAAACAATCGTATTGGAACTTTCTCCAACCTTCGGTCAAGATCAAAAATCCGGTCTAATCTTATCCTCGCACAATATCTACAGTTCCAACCAAATTTTTGTTGCTTAAAATTTTTTATCTTATTACATCTCAATTTAAATTGTCTAACAACTTGGAATCAATTTCCACCAAATCGCCGAGCTTTAGGTTTCTTGCTGACCTTCTCTCATGCTACAGTTAATGAAAAATAGTCAAACATTTGGATCAAAATTCCATTGAGAGTCCCCACCTTGAATATGTGGAAGACAATTGCAATTGGCCTCTGAGCTAGTTGTTCTATTCCCTGCAGTTACATCGTGTTGGCATTATTACTAACCAGGTCAAAACAGCTCTCTAGAGTTGTTATTCTGTTTGAACTTTATCAATCTGCTGTCGCGTCAAATTGTCTGCGGTGTTCTGCGTATCACGATCAGTCTTTGCAGTCCTTTTGGTCAATGTTGTGCTGTTTCTACGACTCAAGTTCACTTATGTCCATTGCATCACTCCTCGTTCACAGTTTATCAGAGAGTAATCAAGTCATGAAACTAACGAGCGAGCTATGGATGAAATTTTGAGCCCTTAATTTTATCGTAAAGAATTAAATAAATTAATTAATTTTACTGGTATAAACGCTTGACACTCAGACTAACAAACCCATGACCCACCCCAAATTACATGAATTAATTATAATCAATAAGAAGTGCAAGTCCATTCCTATCCCTTATGAATAAATACTATGATAAGTAGATAACTGTATCAATATATTGTGTTTTTCTTAAAAACCTTAAAGCTTGCACTGGATCTATATCTGTAGGTAGAGAACTCCACAATTGTGTGAATGTGATAAGGATACAAGATACATTGAGGGACGGAAATTTTCGAAAATGATTTTGTTTCATAATCTTAAGTGTTTTAGTGCAGTCTATCGAAATTCACCACTTTGGGAGATAAAAACATTATTCCTGGTGAGAATTTAGGAAAAGATCATTTTCGAATCAAAGTAAACAAATTGGCTAAGGAAACTTTGGAAGCGCTCTTCTACGCTTTGACCTTCGAACCAATTGGCCGAACATTCTCGAATTCGGGGCTCACGGAATAAGACCGATTCCCTTGGAAATTGGCAGAGAGTAAGATCAGTAGTTGAAGAAAAAAACCGCGTGGCCGAATTTTGATTTTCGAATTCTTTTTGAGATATGACGATGAGTGCAAAGGTCAGCAATAAAAATTGCAAACTCGAACTTGAAAAGCTCATATTTTTGCAAGAATACGTCCATCAACAACCGGCCACACGACTTCTTAGCAAATTTTGGCATGCTGATTGACTTCCCAGAGACTGTTTGCCGAAACAAGAAAACGCTAGCGCGTATTAAATCGATTGCAGACACATGAGTAGTTTTCTCTTTCTTTTCAATTATCTCTGCATTTCAGAAAAATTAAAAAAACAAGGAAATTCTCGAATTCTGTAGTTTATAAACTGTAAAATGATTAATCGTTTTATATATGGATTAGCTCAAAGCACTTGCTTAATGGTAATTTTTTGTGACCCACCGTAAAATAATATTGTAGCCTTCAAAAAGTTTCACTCCCTTCGTGAATCGTAATGTAATTATTTAACACTCTTACTCCACCGAAAAAACCTCCCTTTAATTTTCCATATATAAACTGTATTTCCTATACAATTTACGGATCATCCTTTGATGAAATGAGGTTGTGATCTCAACTTTATTCATCGGTGAGAAAGGCCCGAAAAGCTAATCTAATGAACGAAGCCAAAGGAGTACACCCTCTTGCCTGGCCAGTAAATGTGCAAATACACTCTTTTTTTTAGAACATCGTCTAATTTGGGCTTGAGGCTGAACATACTTATTTTTTTGCGATTTGTGCCTGAAAACGTTATTAACATCTTCAAGTTGTGTGGCATAATGCTTCAATACATAAATTAAGTTCGACTTAAGCGTATTGGGCAATAAAGAAACCGCATTGTCAGTGTTAAAAAATATCCCTGAGTATTTGAATTAATTGTCTTGTTAGACCACAGTTTTACATTGCTTTTACCTATATTTACACTTCTCACAAAAAAAAATTAGCAAATTAAAGACGTTCTTAACTGACTTTCAGCCTGGGTATGTTCTTAGTATGTTTTCAAAATTTTGGTTTATCTCAGCTTAAACATTCCTTTAAAAAAGGTTCTTATAAACAAAAAAAGAGTGTAACACATTTGGCACTTGCAACTCAGAACTAAACAAGCACACATTGTCACAAAGTTTGAGTTTCAAATGTAGTCTTTAACAATTATCTTGTGCCTCTCACTCTTCCAGTCATCTTAGGCCGCAAACCGAAATATTGGGCTAATACATGTACATGAAGATCCCGTGATGTAAATGATTTTTAGTTCCACCCAATTAAGCCAACCTCCGCCATTAGAATCATTCCATCGTCAATAACATGTATTTCAAATTTTCCAGAAAGTTTTAAGGCTCATCTCTTGAACTTGTGATAGTCTCCTTTTTCAGAACCTTTCACTTTGCCTTTTGGAGTGCTCAAGCCTCTTTAATGTTTGTTTCCTCAAGAAATTTATCGTTTGAGTGTTGCCTTCCAATCAACATGGAATTTTCAACAGCCTTAGGACTTACTCAAGATAAAGTGGCATAGCTCTTTCCAATATGTTACAATTCGAAATCAAAAGGGGACGAATTATCATTAATCACTTTTAAAGATTCCTGATTTATCCAATATTCTTGATGACATTCTTGTAATGAACAAGAGATCAATTTCCATAGAAGAAGAATGATATCCGATTTCTTAGAGTGCCATCCCAAAACACTAAATGAATAAACTGACGCACTAAGAAAAGTCTCTCTTTCCCA